ATATCACTTATCACATTTCTAATTTATTATAAAGGTGTGCCACTTATTTATGAAAATTGACATATAAACAACTATTCGTCTTTTATGTGTCACAATATACTTTGATTTTGTTGAAATTAGATACCTGATGGACCCTTACCATCATTCATCTTCGTCTACTAGGGGCCTAACTCTTAGATTTGGATCTCATCCGGATCTAAATTGTGGGGATCCTATAGATCCTCGCATTTTAGTCATTCATCATGCATCATGTAGTTAAAAATTATTTGACTTTTTTTTATTTAAATTAAATACAAATACTATCTAACACCGTACGATATACAATGAACAGTTTGAGATTTCCACAAAATGAATCCGGAGAAGATCTTCTTCCCAAACTCCTAACCATTTTTTGGTCAACCAACTCCTCATAAGTCCTATATATAGATTTATGGATACAACTCACAAGGGCAAATTTGTCAATCGGCTTGACCCAACCGTATATTTCCAAAATCCTTCTCGAACAATCCAGAACAAGACTTTTAACCCATAACTGTCACACCGTAAGGCCCATAGAGTCCAACAAAAAAGAATAAAGAAAAAAAAATGCCCATGAAAGTCCAAATTTCTATGCGCCTTTACTTCCCCGTTATGCGCTCATAGGCTCATAGCCTCCAAATTCCACCAATCACACCATCCATATTTTAATGTTTCCAAGTCAAATTAGAGAGCTCGTCACCCAATACTATAATTTAGTGGTATTATTTTTTAATTGTAATTTTGTAAATAAGAGATTTTAAATTTGATTTTTGTAAAAAATGAATTTAAATTACATTATTGCGAGTTCATTGTGACATGTTAGATGAGGTAACGTTGGGAAAGAAAAATCATATTACTTGTAAGTAAACAATGATTACAATACGAGCACATTCTATACTTTCCAATGTTCTTCCTATCGATAGTTATGTTAATGATTCCTTATGCAATTTTATTTTCTAGCTACAGACTGACTACCTCAAAGTAAAATCAATTGAGATAAAATAAATAAGTGCAGAAGGAAATAAAATAAAATAAAATAACTGAGTGTGAAAATCGTTAATTTTTTTTAAGATTTAATATGGAGTCTTGGGGCCTTATTGGGCCCTACTATGTATGCCCTGGGCTAAACTTAGCATTGATGTCCATGGGTCCTAACCCAATGAGGGACATGGACAAACTCTTGGGTTTTACTTGACGAAAGTTTTCTCCTTTCTTTTTTTTTTTTGGTTTATCTGCTGCATTATGAGGTTAGTTCATGTGATTAACATTGCATTTTTTTTCTCTCAAGAAAAAAAAATAGTGCCTTTTTTCTTTTACGGTGTACATTAACTTTGAAGTTGCTCGAGATGCGAAGTAGGAGGAGATATTTACTCTCGGAGAAATGATTTCCACACTCCCTCCTCATTCCTATGTACTTTTGCTCTTGCTTCTAACCACATATTTGAATAAATCAATAGTGAATTAAGATACAGAAGCAAGCACAGTAATTTTAGGTGAAGGGTAAATGTGAAAATCATTTCCTTATTCCCGATTTGAAAAAAAAAAATGAAGGTACAACAAGGGTGTTTGAATATACATTCCACTTTCATGTTGCTTTCATCATTATACATGTGTGTATGTGTGTGTGTGTGTGTGTGTGTATTAATAGATTTCAATCCTTGAGGTTGAGGTCCCCTCTAGCTTCACGTTGGTATAATTAGGCTGTCGGAGAAAAGGGTGCTTGAATGAATGAATTTAAAGGTTTAATATGGTTGCATTATTGAAATGAAAAGAAAATGCTTCGTTTATATATTTTTGTGAGGGTTGTTATCGACACTTTAAAAAAGTTCATCTTACAATTCTGAAATCACAATTTTTCCCTTATAGTTTTCGCGTTCTTTTGATACAACTCCATTGTTCATTATACACGACATGAAAGCAAGACGAAAGCATGCCGCCAAGCACCCATATATGCCAGAAAAAATTGGGTAAGAGCACCTCACCACATTATCCGTAAGGCATTTTTTACAAAATATCATTCGACACACTTTGATCTCATCATGTGCGAGAGCTGCCCTAGTAATTGTCTTATTACAGTTTCTATCAGTATATTGTAGGATGTACGATTCTTAGGAGTCACTCAAAAAATGTCTGCACTATGTCTCCAAATACTAATCCAACAACAAAGTGTTTGGACCAAGATCATCAACCAATGTTCGATAACAAGGGCCACTACCAAGAGAGAGAGACTTTTCTTAGCTCATCAGTGCCAATTGGTTCTCTGCTTGTCGAAGGAACAATTTGGATTCAAAGGGACAGACATCCACTTCGGATCTCACTATCGGAAGCCCAAAGAGGCAAAGACCATGTAATCTGGACCCCTTAAAATTGAATTTGACGGTCCCCATTAACTCATTCCGCTGGCTCACCTCACACAGACTAAGGGCTGCGATTTATCTTTCACACAAACCAAAAGCTCTGATTTCCTGGTCCTTAAGCTTCGGACATTAAAGTTCGAAGAGGATCCAAATTCGATTCAAAGGGATGACAACCACTCTTCAAATGATTTTCAAACCATTCATAAAATATCCTAATACGTTGAAGAAAAAGGATCCAACTCTAAGACAAGAATAACCTAGTGGTGTTTATACATACCCTAAAGTTCGACTCTCGTCTTCACTATTTCTTTAGCTTCAATCAAAATTATAGCCAGATTGACAACTAATAGTTGTAGCGAAAAACACTTAAACAAGCAAATTATAGAAGGAAAAAAAAAAAAAAACTTCTCACATATATTGCAACAACATGTGTAGTAATAGTTCGATTCTCATCTTCACTGTCACTCGAGTTTTAACTCAAGAAACTAAAAGAGAATTATTACCGTAGTCCGATTGACAACTGACAATACAATAACAATCGAGCGATGTTTTTTTTTTTTTTTTTTCTCTCTGTTCAAAATAGGGCTTCAAAGTGCAATTAGAAAGTAAATGTGAAATCACACCATCACTTAATTGCCATAAAATGTGCATAAATACTAAGGCAATCATCTTTCCATATTGCATCGGATCACAATTAGCACCCACAAAACATCATTCTCGTGCTCCTACTTACTTCTTTTCTTCTACCTTTAGACCCTCCCTAAAAGCCCCATTGGAGGTCGGAGGCCAAATCTCCACCAAAGAGAACGTTTTTACGTGCGCCAAAAAGGACCATCATTTGTTAGCCCAAAAAGACGAAGTGTAAACAATTGTACCTACAAAACCATGGCACTACTACAAGGGGAGCTCAAACACTTGGCACTCTCTGATAGCTCCAAAGGTTCCATTCATGGGGTGGGTCCCACCTGGGAGTTGAATACCGACAGAAAAAGACCACGTTGCTGGCAATGAAAGAGACCATCAAGCAATTGTGCCCTGCCCAAGGCCAATGTTGAGCTCACATGGGACTACTTTTTCTTTTTGTAGGACTTTGATGACATATTAGGGCAACCCATTAAATGAAATCGAATTGTAACGTTCGAGCCCTGTACTGTTTGTAATTAATCAGAGCATTAAAATCATTGATCGTATAATGGAGGTTGAATCTTGAGTCCAATAACTACCTAAAAGAATGAAACCAATAGTTGTAAGGATGTGCTTAATTTCACTTCATAACGACGATATGTAGGTTGTAATTGTACAGTGTAGACTAAATTCTCGGATCATATTATTCGTTTATCGTAGTGGTAAGGTCAAATTAAACAAACAACATAAACTCGCTGAGTCAAATTAAGCACACACCCCCAAAACCATTGGATTAGAGTATCGAAAAAGAAATCAAATCAGCAAGCATTTTTCTCACTCACTTATAGAAAACCTTAAACCATTGTTGGTGATTGGGAAGTGGATGGCTCTGCTCACCTGCACATGCCCTAAGAATTAGACTAATCTTTCGGCCATGTATCATAATTAATTAGGTTGCAATCAGACCTTAAACTTGGGTCACGAACCAGATTAGCGTAGGTGGAGGGAAATGGTTGGATGAGTAGAGCTTAATTTCTCCACCAGAAAAGGGAGAAATTGTTATATAAATATAGTGGAGGGGCAGACTCAGTGGAAATGGACGAAACTTATCAATCAAATGGGGACCAAAATAGTTGAATCCTGCCCTGTTTTTTCATAGGTCCAAACTCTGTACACAACCATCTGATTATGTCCCTAGCTACATAGAATTGCAACGCTAATGTGACAGTGAACCAAATTAATCATGCGGCAGATGAGGGAGTATAAAACACATGGCCGTCTTGTTATTGGACTGGACAGTGGCGTTTTGGGGGTGTAATATGTATTATACTGTCATGTGATGTTATTAACTTACGTGTTATAATATAGGTGAACGACATAGTTAATATGTCATAGAGCTAGATTATGAAATGGGTCGTGCTATTCACACACCCCTTTCTGTGCCATCGAATCAAATGACTTGAAAAGTATAGCGCCACCCTATAAATAGAATGAGGATCCTCTCCGGATCCCCTTTGTGAGGATCTCGAGAATCTTCCAATCACATCCGTTCATCGTATATCGTGCGATCAGAAATCATTGAAAATATTTTTATTTAAAATTAAATATAAACAAACCTAAGAAAAACTGACCGTATAATATACGATGAAAGAATGTAATTGAAGAATCTCTGAATCCTCATAAAGAAAATCCGGAGAGGATCCTCATTCCTATAAATAATCCCCTAATAACATGAATCGAGTGATAATAATAATATTATGCGGCAGAGCGCCAGCCACACCGAAAAAAGTCCCCTTGCATTGGAGTAAGAGAAGTATTGCATCATTTGATGGAAATCATGATGGATGCAAATCACAATGCAGAATACTAATTCCTACACTTCACATCTTGAGAAATTTTTCAATGTGATCGGAATACAGGATGGTATACCACGTATTATTAGGATGTGTGTCATTATATAAATGATGGGACATGTATGTTAAAAGTTAATAACTTAAAAAATACAATTTTCCACCACTTATATTAAAATACGTAATGTACTATCCGTGTTCCGATCACAATAAAAAAATTCTCCCACATCCCACCTTCATCACTTTTGCCAACAGAATCTATTTGTTTATATTTTGCAGCTTTATACATCCCTCCTAAAAATGCTCCCATATTCTTTCCATCCTCTATATAATAACTCATTTTCTTCTCCCTCTCCCTCTCCCTGATCAGCATGGAATGCTACTCATCCGATCAGTACCCAGTTAATGACCTCTCTGACCAATCAGAGTTTCCCTACATTTCTCAGCCAAGTTTCCAGTCAGTTCCTTCACTCAACTCACAAAACAACTTTCCAACAAACACTTACCACCACTGCCTCACCACCTTGCAAGGCCACAACTCCTACATATCCTCTCTAACCCTAGCCGGAAACTTCATCTACACCGGCTCGTCCGATGGAGAAATCCGGTCGTGGAGGTGCAACCCTTTACTGGAATTCGACAACAGAAACACTACTCATCATGATCACAACATGGTGGCGGCAGGAAAGGGTGCAGTGAAGTCCCTGGCTATTTCAGGTGACAAGCTCTTTAGTGCTCATCAGGACCACAAGATTCGAGTGTGGAAAATCGACAGCCAGGAGCCCAATCTCCAAAAGTGCTCGCGGCTAGCCACGCTGCCAACGCTTGGTGACCGCGCTGTGAAGCTCCTGATGCCAAAGAACCATGTCCAAATAAGAAGGCACAAGAAGCGCACTTGGGTGCATCATGTTGACACAGTGTCTGCCCTAGCCTTATCAAGCGATGAGCTGCTGCTGTACTCGGTTTCATGGGACCGTACACTCAAGGTTTGGAGCACAGCAGACTTCAGATGCTTGGAGTCTGTGAGAAATGCACATGATGATGCTATAAACGCAGTAACATCGTCTAATGATGGATATGTTTACACTGGATCAGCAGACAAAAGAATTAAGGTTTGGAAAAAAGACTTCGGAGAGAAAAAGCACTCTTTAGTTGCTACACTGGAAAAGCACAATTCTGGAGTGAACGCACTAGCTCTGAGCAGTGATGGGTGTGTGTTGTATTCTGGTGCATGTGACAGTTCCATTGTGGTTTGGAAGAATAAAGATGGGGGTGGGAATATGGAAGCTGTGGGTGTGCTTAGAGGTCATACCAAGTCAATATTGTGTTTGGCTGTGGTTGCAGACTTGGTGTGCAGTGGCTCTGCAGATAAAAGTATAAGAATTTGGAGAGGGGTTAATAAAAGTTACTCATGTTTAGCAGTTTTGGAAGGGCATAAAGGTCCAGTTAAGTGTTTAACTGCTGCAATTGATGACCTTTGCAGCTCATCTGGTTCCTCCTGTGTTATTTACAGTGGTGGTTTGGACTGTGACATCAAAGTCTGGCAGGTCTTTGTTCCTAGTGACCTTTAAGACTCCAATTTACTTTTCTACAAGAAGAACTTCCATGCACTTAAAATTTTACAGTGACGGTATTTAAAAACAATCACAAACTTTTTACTGTTCACGTAAAAAATGTGTGATTGTACTGAGATACCGTCACCATGACATTCTAGATTGAGTATTGTGTTAGCTAGTGATTTGGTTTAGTTAGTGAGGGGAGCAGATTATGTCTGTACTTTCTTCTATAGCTCTAGAGGCTATAAACTACAATATCATAAAAGAGAGCAAATAATTTATGAGCTTTCCCTCTGTGTGCTCTAATTATTGGATGGAGTTTCTCTAACACAACCTGCCTGTGGGAGTCACATTCTTCTGTATCTGGCAAAAAATATTAAAAAATCTAAATGCTTATGTTTGGCCTTCAGAGGGTGACAGATTGAAAACCCACCTCACAAATGAGAAATTGGAAAAAAATATGGGAAAATCCAAATACGGTAGAGCCAATAATTTACTAATGACCAAATTTGATGTAAATCCCAACTCAAACGGCTAAATCTCAGATTAAAAATAAATTAATTAATGAAAACTGGAAACACTTTCTTAAAAGTGGCAGATGACATATGAGAAAAAGATCACCTAAGAGAGAAACACTCTTCTGCTTAAAGCAGGATTGGTGTAGAGAGAGAGAGAGAGAGAGAGAGATTAGTGAAACTCACACTCATTATCTTGTTAATCTCACCTTCCATTGTCCACATTCTCAATATATATCTTCCTTCTGCTCTAAGTTGGGTTTAATTAGGCAGCTAAAGCAAGATTATCTTCTAAATCTACCTTCTAGGCTTCTACAATAAGAAGCTTCTTTGACAGGAGCAGGTAGCCAAAGCAGTATCAATCCAAAGCTGATTAATTAGAAATCCACCTACTTTAATATGTAATTATTAATTTCGTAAAACATTTACGTGGAAGTTTAACATACTAACGTTCTACCATTATGTACAGATTAAACTGCCGATATGCCCCCCTGAACTATCACTCAACTTTTGATTTCCCCCCTGAACTTTTTAATTGGAAAATTAAGGACTTGAACTAATTTTTTTGGTTGATTTACTCCCTGCTGTTAATTTTTCATTCATTCCATCCAAATTTCTGTTAAATAGAAGCATGTGCATAACAATTGTGGGTAGTTCGGTCGCTTCATTCTTTAAAATAATTGAAAACCTTAGATTTCTAAAATATAAACCTATGCAAATATGTGTGATTCTATAGCTTTTGTGTCTAAAGGTCTAGTGAAGTGACGCTTTTGTCCACAAAGGAGAGTTATGTGGTGTGCACATGATAAGAGTTAACGTTAATTTGGATGAAATCTATGAAAACCTAATGGTAGGGGGGAAATTGGCCAAAAAAATTAATTTAAGTCCTTAATTTTCCAATTAAAAAGTTCAAGGGGGAAATCGAAAGTTGAGTGATAGTTCAGGGGCAAATTGGCAGTTTAGCCTTGCACACACACACACACATATTACTATATTAAATAAGTCTTATTAGTTCCAAATCCGGACCATTGGAGAAGTTAGGTAACACAGTATTTTTTTATTTCTCATGACAGAAACCACAACATTATTCTAACCTAATTAATTTTTGTTCTTTATGTCTCAAATCACACTGTCTGCTAATTGCTACCCTTTAAATATTGTTGTTGACCAAAGAGATGAATAATACGTATGAGATTTACCTCCTTTTCTCTGGGATCATAACACTTTCTCAAAAATAAGTATCATATTAAAGAATAGGTAAGAGGATTGATGATCTAATTTGGATAATCTTGAGTACAGGTGTCTGCTGTACAGGCGAAGCAAAACGAGTTACTTACGTCAAACAAGGCCTTACAAGGTAAATCCTAAGTTTAATCTTGATTACTTGCATGCTTAGCCAAGATTTCAAGCACCCAACTTTATCTAATTTCCCTTAAGTTGTGCTACAAAAAGGTGAGGCTAATGCCCAAACTTTCAGTTCAAAAAGGGGTGGATGGTGATGGCCAAAGGTGGAGCATAATACTAAAGTACGTCTCTGGACCATTACAAATTTACAATTTACATAGACGTCCAATGTCCTTGTGTAGAGAGAGAGAGAGAGAGAGAGAGAGAGAGAGAGAGAGAGAGAGAGAGAGAGGCCTCATGAAGTACAGATTGACCTAAAAAAAGTTGGGGAGCAATGAGATCTGCAGGATGTGAGGGGTCGGTACAGAAACCTCGGGTACAATTCAACCAATGTGTAGGTTAGTTTACCACCAGATGAGGTGTCTAATGACTCAGCTAGCAGTAGTGTAATGGTTTAAAATCAACAATTAGTATGGCACTGAAAAATTCATACTGAAATCTCACCTTATGAGATTATCCTAATATGTGTTCACTTCCAACTTTTCATCAGATAAGTTCTCATTCTCTAGCTCGAGTTCTATTTTTCTTTCTACTTACTATGTAGATTGGTTCAACCTCCTTTTGTGTTTCCTAGAAAGAAATAGAAACTTGTGTGAATGTTACTTTTGTAAAAGACTCAGAATGGAAATCAGGAAAGTTCACTTGGTTTATTGACACGAAATTATTTGGAGACACGCCTGCAATCTCAGCCAGAAACAATGACAGGAACTTGCAAAATATAGCATTTCATTTCCAAAGCAGAAGGGGTTACATAAATATCTGATGAATGGGGAAGGAACGCCAATCCAACTATATATAACATTTAAAATGGGGGCATCTGAATTATTTTACAGAGGTATTTTCTCTGGAGTACCTGGATCACGAGGATACTTCCTTGGCGTAGGACTAGTTTTCAAACATACGATGGCAGTTCTTTGTCCATACGGGCTGTGCGATTCCACTGGATACAAATAGAGGTTACATCAGTAAACATGGTTATCTCTCTCTCTCTCTCTCTCTCTCTCCCTCCCTCCCTTCTTTACCATATATACATGATAGGTTTGTCAAGTTTTCAAATAGAGATATGACATGCCTGTGCATTGTTGCAATACGGAAGCACCCAAAATCTGAATTGCTTTTTCTGCATTCCTAACTTCCTCCTGTTCAAATGTGCCAAATATGCAGAGTACTTAATATTTCATATCTAATAGTTTAATTGCAGATAGAGGGGCAATTTGTCGTGCTGCTGAAGTTATTAAAGGCATAAAAACTCCCTGGATAGAATATGCACAACCCAAGATTGTTAAAGAGTTTATATAGCATAGCTCTATCAGCATCAATGGATCGGTACGGTTTTTGTGGCATTTTGTATACAATTTCAGAAAGAAATGGTTAATATGATAAGGCTTTTCGATTACATACCTGAGGATCGTGACCCTTTGCAGCAACAAACAAACCGCCAACGCAAACCAGAGGAAGACAGTATTCAGCTGACCACCAAAGTAACAAGAATCAGCAACACACATAGCAATGAAACTCTTGAAAATACACATAAGAGATCAAGACAGGAATTTTCTTTCCTACCTAAAACTCTCATTTCTGCAACCGCTCTGGCTACCGCTACATCAAATTTTTCCCTGAAACAAAGAGCCTGCCCCAAATTCTGTCCTATAAAAAAAGTTCATATCCTTAATTTGACATCAATAGAAACCAAATTATATCTGCGAAAAACACGAAACAATACCTCTGCTCTTCCTCTTACAACTTGAACATTCGACAAACCAATGTGACCGACAACATGCTCCAAGAAAACGCATCGCTTGTTCATAGACTCCATGAGGGTCACTTCCCAACCTATCCACCAAAATATGAAAAAACACAAATTTCCAAAAACTTCCAAAATCCGAACTTTGAAAAGACAGTTACAGACCTGGGCAAGCAATGGCTAAGATCAACCCCGGAAGACCTGCACCGCTCCCCACATCGACAATGCTGAGACTTTCCGACGGAACTTTACAGTGAGAGAAATATGAGTTTCTGATAGGGGGTATGATTGCGAGCGAGTCCTCAATGTGCCTCTCCATTACCTCATCCGCCTCCTTAACAGCTGTCAAATTCATTTTCTGAAAGTTCAAAAATTTCATCAACTGGTAACTTGTTTTGATTTTCCCACCATTTTCTCTGCAACCAAACAGAGGATAAGCGCAGGGAGAGAGAAAATGACCTGGTTCCATTGGAGGAGAGTGTCGACGTAGAGATGGACTTGCTCTTTTTGGCGGGAATCCAACGTCTCAAAGTAAGAGAACCTACGAATTGCGGTGGCAGTTAGGGTTTTGGGTCTGAATCTGTACGGACAGAGCGTCGTCGGATTCGATACCGGAAGGTGTTTGAAGAAAGTCCCCAAAGAGAATGGAACTGCGCAACGGCTAACTAACATCTTTGCCGCGCTCACTGCCTCGGTCTCAACGAATTTTCATTTCTTATTGCGAACCAAATTGTATATGGGCTTTTATTTATTTCATAAATCAAATAATTTAAGCCCGAGTAAGATTGTTGGGCTAAGAGTGTCAAACTTTTATGGGCTCACTTTGGTTCGGCCTGACTCTGCTCAATTCATTCTACTTGTACACAAAGGCCGAAAAGCTAATATGAATGGTAGAGCTAGTGCGGAACATGAGCTCATCAAACAATTTGGATTCTTAAAATTTGACCTGACGCCTAAAAACAGAAGCTTACTTTAAAAATGATAATAACTTTAGCCGTTGGATCAAATTTTAAGGGTCTGGATTGTTTGATAAGGAGGATTAGGTGGAAGGGATCCAGAGAGGATCCCTTTCCATTTTGTTGGGCTGCCTGATTAAAACATCTTTATTAACAACTGCATTAGACATAATATAAGAATAAAGTGGATTTGCAAAAGATATTGGTAGGGCTATCTAATCGGAACATCCTTCATATTTAGTGGGGATTGCAAACAGTCAGATGAATCAGAATCCAGAAATACAGCAACAACAAAAATTTGATCGATAGGAATAGGGCCACTTTTATACTGAGTTAAAATTACGTCTCATGCTTTTGTGAGAATGTATGTTATGTTATGAATGGTAGGGCACTACTACACAAGTTCTACTGTGTGCAATGGGCATGCTCTGTTGTCAGAGAGATTTTTCAATATACCCGAAGCATGGGGCTGTATGCTACATGTTATTATAGAATTGGAGAAATAGTTGGGAAAAAAAAAATTCCAAAATTATATAATAATATGTGATGTACTGCTTCATGTTCCAGTCATGTTCCAGTCGCACAAAATTTCTCCTATTATCAGCCTAATGTTCGGTGTGTTTATAATATTTTTGCAACAGGGGCGGCGTCAACCCACTTTCTCAATGTAATGATGATATGTAGTAGGTA